TTAAGTAGTGGGGTTTCATTAGCTACCCTCCAGTCTATAGCAACTGTTCCAGGTTCTATAGCAACTGTTCCAGGGTCTATAGCAACTTGAAGGATGACTGCTGATGAATCCACTATTTCTAGTGTTCTTCCCTCAGCACTTTGAGATGTAGATTATTTGTCCCCAGCCATTTGTTGGCTGTTAATTCTATCTATTTTCCCAGTTACATACTTTTTAAAGAGGATGCAGTACACTAATAGTTGAGCACAATTCCAGTTTTTGAAAGATTATATCCAGGATGTAGGCAGCGAAAGCTTCTATAAAAATGTTCTCCCTCTTTCCATTGGAAATCTGGGATGGAAAGTATTGCAAACAACAGTCCATGCAACACAGTGTTAAGTAGGTTCATTGGGTGCCACGTCACATGTAATTTTTGTGGCCTGGAGGAAACAGAATGAAATGTGGGTCCCTGCCTGCATAATGCCAGGAACTACATATGACATACGTTAGAGTCATAGAGATGTACAGCACTGACATAGACCCTTTGGTCCAACTCGTCCATGCCGACCAGATATCCTAAATAAATCTAGTCCCATTTACCAGCATTTGGCCCATATCCCTCTAACCTTTCCAATTCATACACCCATCAGATGCCTTTTAAATGTTGTAATTGTAAACTCCACCACTTCCTCTGGCAGCTCATTCCATACAGGCATCACACTCTGCATGAAAATATTGCCTGTTAGGTCCCTTTTAAATCTTACACCTCTCAACATAATCCTAGGCCCTCTAGTTTTGGATTCCCCCACCACAGGGCAAAGACCTTATCTATTAACCTTATCCATGCCCTTCATGATTTTATGAACCAAATAAGGTCACCCCTCAGCCTTCGACGCGCCAGGAAAAATAGCCCCAACCTATTCAGCCTCTCTTTATAGTCAACCCTCCAACACTGACAACATCCTTGTAAATCTTTTCTGAACCCTTTCAAGTATCATAATATCCTTCCCATAGCAGGGAGACCAGAATTGCATGCAGTTTTCCAAAAGTGGCCTAACCAATGTCCTGTACAGCCAAAACATGACCTCACAACTCCTATACTCATGCACTGACCAATAAAGGCAAGCATACCAAACACCTTCTTCACCATCCAGTCTACCTGGGACTCCACTTTCAAGGAACTACAAACCTGCACTCCAAGGTCTCTTTGTTCAGCAACACTTGCCAGGACCTTACCATTAAGTGTATAACTCCTGCCCTGATTTGCCTTTCCAAAATGCAGCACCTCACATTTATCTAAATTAAACTCCATCTGCCAGTCCTTGGCCCATTGGCCCATCTGATCAAATTCCCATTGTACTCTGAGGTAACCTTCTTTGCTGTCCACGACACCTCCAATTTTGGTGTCATCCACAAAATTACTAACCATATCTGCCATGTTCACATCTAAATCATTTATATAAATGACAAAAAGCAGTGGACCCAGCAGTGGTTCTTGTGGTACACCGCTGGTCGAAGGCCTCCAATCTGAAAAGCAACCCTCCGCCACCACCCTCTGTCTTCTTCTTTTGAGCTAGTTTTGTATCTGTCAGCCAATTAGTAGCCAAAGATGTCCTCATTGTCCAATTATGGACAGATATCAAGTTCTTGATATCAAGTTCTTCTCGTCACGTTCCGATCTCTGGACCAGAATATTTAGGTTAATGAACCCTCACTCCAGAGGTACGTCATAACACATCTGGACATGCTGATTAAAACTATTATCAAGTTCTTTATGTGGGTCTTGTGAAGCAGTGCCATTGTCCCTACTTCTAGGCCAGAAAGTCTAGTTCAACTCCCACCTGCCCCAAACATGTGCCATGGATGTCTGAACAAGTTGGTTAAAAAGATAAATTTTTTGAAGCTTAATCTTCCATAAAATCTCCACCAGGACAGAAGGAGCTGCAGACTGCCATTGCAAGTAAAAGAGAGCAGCACTGAACATGTTTGAAATTTAAAACAACCACAGCTGCCAGATCATTTTAGAAAGGTTTTCCCTCCATAGTGTTACCCATAGCCACAGTTGTAGCCACATAGGTGTTGTGACTTCAGGGGAGGGAAGCCTCAAAGTGACGCTGGAGATATGGTTTCCTGTTCTGAATCTTGGCAGCATCAGCCTCCAGATACAAGTGGAAAATTCTATTTGACCTTTTAACTGAATTAACAAGCTAATCACTGTTAGCAGGTGAATAACCGATTCACACCTCATTTGTGTCCAGAAGAAAGGCCGGGAGTTGGGACTATAGTAGGGAGCAGGCATGCTCACTCACTACAAATGTCAGGCCTGCCTCCATTCCATTCCCAATGTCAAATTTCTAAACAAGGCTTGCTGTTGGTACTAAGTTAAATGGAAAACAATCTATAAGAAGGGTAGAAGGAATCTTCTGAGTCTCAAGTTATATAGATACAGGGGTCCGAGTGCATCTTGCCCAGAGTGCAGCTCACACTGAGCAAGAATGAGAGTTTGGTAAGTGAGGGTATTTGGGGGAGGGATGGTTAAAAAAAACTTCATCTTTCAGAAGACAATTCGTGATTGACTGACAAGTTATTCCATTTGTAATAAATAGCTTATAAAGCTGATATGGTAAGACAGGATGTCTCAGTTTTGAGAAGCATGCATTCTGTGACATCTGGAATGTTTGTCCTAAACAAACATATTTGCAGAAAATGTCAATATTTTTAGAATCTTAGCTCAAGGTTTCAAAACTCAAATGATATCTGGAATTAGTGTGGTGCACCCATGAGTCAAAGAAATATGTGGATAGCACATTTAGAGGGGTGATCATCCTGTAAGTTAGGAGCATACAGACAGAGAGGGATTGGGTGGGTGGCTGCCAGGCAGTCTAAGAGAACAAAGCTGGTAATGTAGGAGACACCTAAGACAATCTCACTTACAAGCAAATTTTATTTTTTGATAGTGAGGCTGATGGCTCTCAGAGAAGTGCAGCCAAAGCCAGGTCTGTGGCACCACGAATGGCTCACCTGCACAGGAGGGGAGTGATAGCAATAGAAAGGCAACCATGATAATGGATTTGAAAATAAGGGGAAGAGACAAGCATTTCTGTGGCTGTGATTGGCATCCTTGACTCCAGGCTGGTATGTCGCCTGTGGACACAAGTTACTTCAATGTCTAAGTTGCAAACAATGCTGAAGATTGTATAATCATCAGCAAACATCTCCAACTCTGAACTCATGATGGAGGATTTCTTTTGAGGAGTCGGGGGAGAAACATGATGGAGCAACTGAAGATGACTGGACCTAAGACACTATCCTGAAGAACTTCTGCAGAGATTTGTGGAGCTAAGCTGACTGATATCCAATCATCACAACCATCTGCCTTTGTTCTAGCTCTAATTATAACCAGCGGAATTATCCCTGGATACCCATTGAGTAGTTTTGCAAGGCTACTTTATACCATTATTGTTAAAGTGCCTCTGACATCAAGGCAGCAATCATTCTCACTTCACCTCTGGAGTTCAGCTCTTCTGCCATGATTATACGTGGTTTGAAATGAAGTCAGAAGACATGGCCCCAAGCAGTACAAGCAGGTTATTACTAAACAAATACTGTTTATTAGCACTGCTTTATAGTCCATCAGTTGGATTTTCACAGAGTTTTAGAGA